TGCAATGTTGCCGGTGGTTATATATTGCATTATGTCTCTTGTTCTCTCTCTGTCCCTGTCGTCCGCGTGCTCCTCTCCTCTCTTCCTGCTTCCTGGGGCACAGATCCGCTGTGTGTCATTCGACCCCCATCTGTGGGTGGCTCATAACTACGATTTTATTTTCGCACACTGCGCGGCACTTGATTTCATTTGTCCGCCTTCAATGCAGCCCGCGCCCGCGGCACCATATCCCCGAGATGCGTGCGCCCAGGGTGCCATCCGCGCGGGATCTCGCGCACTCGCCAGGCGTTCCAGGCGCGTTCGGCGGTTCTTCATTACGTAAGTCATCGAGGCCAGGACGCGGACTTCTTGTCGCTCCCCTTCGCTTCTTGTCCGCCTGCCCTCTTGTCCCTTGCGTCGTGTCCGCTTTCCTCTCCTTCAGGCGCTGGGGCTCCTCCTCCTCCTCCTCCTCCTCCTCCTCCTCCCTCCTCCTCCTCCTCCTCCTCCCCCTCCTCCCCTTCCTCCCCCTCCTCCCCCTCCTCCTCCACCTCCCCCTTTTCCTCCTCCTCCTCCTTCTCCTCCTCCTCCTCCTCCTCCTCGGAGGCACCCCGAGCGGGCTGCTTTTTCGGAGGCACCCCCCCTCCCTTATCGCGGACGGACGGCCCCCTCAAGGTGCCTCCCCCTGGGTGGGGCCCCCCGAGCTCTTGGCCCAGTCGACAGCCACCCAGAGCCTGGGATTTTCGGTGGCGGGGGGGTGGGGGGGACTTTTATATAACAGCGAAGATTGATCGGTTTCTAGTGGGGTCAAAAGAGAGCATCTTGACTCCCCAGGGGGGTCTTGGCAGATGCCCGACGGGTGCCGCGGGAAACCGGGGATCTTTTTTAAGCCAGCAGTAGCGCACTTCGTGGTCTTCGAGTTCCCAGAACTCCAATCCTGGGCATGCTTTTGAATGCCCGGAGCCAACTGTAGGCCACTTCGTGTTTTTCGAGTTCCCAGAACTCCATTCCTGGGCATGGTTTTGAATGTCGGGAGCCAACTGTAGGCCACTTCGTGGTCTTCGATTTCCCCGAACTCCATTCCTGGGCATGGTTTTGAATGCCCCGAGCCAACTGTAGGCCATTTCGTGGTCTTCGAGTTCCCATAACTCCATTCCTGGGCATGGTTTTGAATGCCCGGAGCCAACTGTAGGCCACTTCATGTTCTTCGAGTTCCCAGAACTCCATTCCCGGGCCACAGTTTGAATGCTGAGGCAGGCTGATGTTGAGGTTGGGGCAGGCTGAGGCTGAGGCAGGCTGAGGCCGAGGCCGAGGCCGACGGCAGACCGAGGCTGAGGCTGAAGCAGGCTGAGGCTGAGGCTGAGGCAGGCTGGGGCTGAGGCTGAGGCAGTCTGATGCTGAGGCAGGCTGAGGCTGAGGCTGATGCAGGCTGAGGCTGAGGCAGGCTGAGGCTGAGGCCGAGGCTGAAGGCAGACTGAGGCTGAGGCTGAAGCAGGCTGAGGCTGAGGCTGAGGCAGGCTGAGGCTGAGGCTGAGCAGGCTGAGGCTGAGGCAGGCTGAGGCTGAGGCTGAGGCTGATGCAGGCTGAGGCTGAGGCAGGCTGAGGCTGAGGCCGAGGCTGAAGGCAGACTGAGGCTGAGGCTGAAGCAGGCTGAGGCTGAGGCTGAGGCAGGCTGAGGCTGAGGCTGAGGCTGAGGCTGAGGCTGATGCTGAGGCAGGCTGAGGCTGAGGCTGAGGCTGAGGCTGTGAAGGCTGAGGCTGAGGCTGAGGCTGAGGCTGAGGCTGAGGCTGAGGCTGAGGCTGACTGAGGCTGAGGCTGAAGCAGGCTGAGGCTGAGGCTGAGGCAGGCTGAGGCTGAGGCTGAGGCAGGCTGAGGCTGAGGCAGGCTGAGGCTGAGGCTGAGGCTGAGGCTGAGGCAGGCTGAGGCTGAGGCTGAGGCTGAAGGCAGACTGAGGCTGAGGCTGAAGCAGGCTGAGGCTGAGGCTGAGGCAGGCTGAGGCTGAGGCAGGCTGAGGCTGAGGCTGAGGCTGAGGCTGAGGCTGATGCAGGCTGAGGCTGAGGCAGGCTGAGGCTGAGGCCGAGGCTGAAGGCAGACTGAGGCTGAGGCTGAAGCAGGCTGAGGCTGAGGCTGAGGCAGGCTGAGGCTGAGGCTGAGGCAGGCTGATGCTGAGGCAGGCTGAGGCTGAGGCTGAGGCTGATGCAGGCTGAGGCTGAGGCAGGCTGAGGCTGAGGCTGAGGCTGATGCTGAGGCAGGCTGAGGCTGAGGCTGAGGCTGATGCAGGCTGAGGCTGAGGCAGGCTGAGGCTGAGGCCGAGGCTGAAGGCAGACTGAGGCTGAGGCTGAAGCAGGCTGAGGCTGAGGCAGAGGCAGGCTGAGGCTGAGGCTGAGGCAGGCTGATGCTGAGGCAGGCTGAGGCTGAGGCTGAGGCTGATGCAGGGTGAGGCTGAGGCAGGCTGAGGCCGAGGCCGATGATGAAGGCAGACTGATGCTGAGGCTGAAGCAGGCTGAGGCTGAGGCTGAGGCAGGCTGAGGCTGAGGTAGGCTGAGGCTGAGGCTGAGGCAGGCTGAGGCTGAGGCTGTGACCGCGCACGTGCCGCTGGCCACTGCGACTGTCATCGCGAATGCGACTACGACTGCGAGAACAGCAGAATTCTACAACTGGATTCTCATCTGAATCTTAAGGGGAATGCTTCCAGATATTCTCCTACACATCGCTGTTAGGTTGCTTTGCCGGGACAATTGTTGTTTTTTGGGGGGGTCCATGGCGCCTCCTCATGTTTCGATGCGTCCCGGGGCGCCCCCTGCGACCGCGCACGTGCCGCTGGCCACGCTCTGCGCCCCCCCCCCCCCCCTATTGGACGCCCCCCTCGTGGCCGACCCCGAGGTGCAGGATTCGACATTTGCCGCGGGAGCACCGCTGCCCCTGCCTCGAACTCGCCCCTTTTGGGCCTCCCAGGAGGCCCTTTGCCGCCGCTGGCGGCAGTCGCCGAGGCTCCTCTCTCGGCCAGGGCGCGGCCCTGGGAATGGCTCTCCGAGGAGCAGCAGGGCCCCCCCTCCCACCCGAGCGGCTCCCGAGACGCTGGAGCTGGGGGGGGGTCTGTTCGGATGCAATTCCTGGGAGGTCAGGTTCTGATTTTGCCCTGGTCCGAAATCCGGCTGGATCTGGCCTGATCCCACGGATGGTCCGGCCTAGGCCCGCTCAGTCCGGCCGAATTCCGATTCATCCGAGGCCCATTCCAGCGCAACAGTCCCCCAAGGGGGCTTAATCCGCCTTATTCCTGCCGACGAAGACTTCCCAGTAGTTGCCTCCTAAGGTCTGTAGTGGCTGGTGGCCCAGCGTTGGTCTGGGGGCAGAAGCGGCAGGGCTTCTCAGAAGCCCTCGCGCCTGCTGATAGGTTTTTCACGATGTCTTCCGGGAACGCTTTGGAAACCTTTCGGATGGCCGGGGGATTTCCGAGCCTTTCACTTCCCCCCCGGGCTCGCCGCCGATGGTTCGGGGGTTGCTAAAGGTGCCCCTGACCCAAGGTGCCCCCAGCTCTTCGTTCCATTCTGGACACCCCATGGGGCCCCTGGGCCTCGTGAGGGGGTGCTCCTGAGGCCATCGGGACCCGCTTAGGAGTTCTGGGAGCGCCTTGGGCCAGGGGCACTTCTGGCCGACCCCCGAGTTTGATGTGACACGTCGCATCGCAAAGGCTAAGACCAGCAAGAAGGAGAGGAAATCACTAGCAGCCCTACCCCAGGAAGGAAGGGCGCCAGCGTCGGGACCGGAAAAGAGGGGGGTGAGGACTAGGGGGGTGTGCGTATCATGATTCAGGTCATGATTATTTTCTAAACGAAAGGGCCTGACGTTATGTGTGCATCCCTTGCGCGACATACTTCTGCGCATGCAGTCGTTGAGCGACTAACTCCCCACCTCGCCCGTCGAAGCCGAAGGACAGGGGGGCGAGGTGCGAGGCGTGGGCTGCGAGGCGTCTATGTCGGTTGTGCCTGCTGCTTGCTTCGGGGGGCCGTCCTCGGGCCCCGGGGCAGCCAAAACGGGTCTGGAGTGGCACTCCACATCGCTTGTCTCGGGCCTTCGATTTTTCGTTGTCCCTGTTTTTCGGTTCGGTCCCTCGTTCGGCTCTGTTTGGGTCCTGGTCCGTCCCTCGCTTCTTTCGGCCCTTCCTTCGGGCCCCTCGCTCGTCGTTTCGGCGCCACGGGCAGGAGTGTTCGGCAGACGATCACCCGCGCGCAAATAAAAAAAGGCTTGTCCCCCTACAGGGGCATCTTCGACGAAACATAGAAATTCACCCTACAAGTGCTCCAAGAAGGTCAAAACCATTCAAACATAGTCCCCAGACTGTTTTTGGACTATTTTTGTTTATGTTTGGTTTTTTTTTTCCGTCGCAAATCCCCCTGTAGGGGACAGGCCCGACTCAACACCAGATGGAGCCCAGGAGGGGTCCAGGGGAATCGGTTGTTAGCAGGTGTGCCTTCGTCCCCCCCTCTTGACCGACCTCGGGGCCCGACCAGCCCAGACACCCAGGCCGCCTCCATGCTTCACGTCGTCGCGTGCGTCCCACCCTTTAGGATGCTGCAGTCGAGACTGATCAGTAGGTCGACCCTGCCAGATCGAGGGTACCCTTGTGTCCTGAACTTCGCGACCCATGCCTTCGTACATTCCTATGGCAATGTGGCCCCCAGCAGGGTCTTGTGTCCTCTCGCGTGCCCTCTCCAATCAAACCCGACTGTACTCCTGGGAGGTTATACTCAGCATCGGCATTGGTACATTCTTGGTCGACAACCAGCCCATTCCGGTCTCACTCCGAGGAAGCCAGTCCGTCCAGGCTCAGTAAGTACGTCCAACATCGGGCTAACTATATATATATATATATATATATATATGTATATATATGGGCCCCCTTGTCCGAGCGGCCCCCTCCTCATCGGGCTCAGCTAAATGGCCCTTGACCGATCTTGCGAGGACCGCCCAGGAGTTGCCTCGTAAGCTTGGTGCTTCTACTCGCCCCCCCTCGCCGGCGCGAGGCGATCGACATCTGGTCCGTGGCCTGCATCTACGCGGAGCTGCTGGGCATGCTCGAGGGCGTCGATTTCGCAGACCGCAGGCCTCTCTTTCCAGGCGGAGAGCCCGCGACAGTGCGCCAGCGCGCCTGGGGTCGGCGCCGTGGGGGGGTCTGAGGTGGTCCAGCACTGGTTCGGTAGCAAGTTATGGGAGCCTCGTGTACCCTCGCAGTTTTGTCTTTGGCGTCGATTGGCGACGATTGGCATCTGGGAGTCGATGAGGTAGCACCGACTTAGCATCGACTGGCGTCGATTTAGCGTCGTCGATTGGCGTCTGGGAGTCGATGAGGCAGCACCGAGTTGGCGTCGGCTAGCGTCGATTTAGACAGCGCCGATCTCGCGTCGACTAGCGTCGACTCAGCGTCGACGGGCGGCGATTCACGAGAGCCGAACAGGATGGTACGGGAGGCTCCCAGGAGCTGCCACCGCACACCTGGTTCCGGCCAGCAGGGAGGCCGGGCAGGTTCTCGAGGTGCTGGGTTCGGCGAGGCGTTTGTTGCCTTGCTCTGGTTCTGCGGGGGCCGCTTCCGGGCCCCAGGATGGTCGAGAAGGGATCCAGGGTGGAACAGTGCATCGGATGGACCCCAGGAGGGGTCCCGTAGCAAGTTTTGAGCGGATTTGGCTCCACCCCCCCCTCCCGGCCGATTTTTTCGGGGGTCCCCTCCAGTTCAGACTCCTGGGCCGCCTCTGGGCCAGGCGAAGAGATATGCACTGGACGGGGCCAGGCGTTCGGCTCGCTTGAGCGGGGCCCCCTGTGCTCTCTGCGACGGTTTTTGTGGTGAAGATGCGTTCACAGAACCCGCGAAAAGCGACCTCCGACCACACCTACCGTGCATACACTCAACCCGCATAGTAAGGATCGGCCTAGACAACCTTGCCTCCTCTGTCCATCCTTGACCGCTTTCGCTGGCTGCGCCCCGCTCGCAAAGCGTCGACATGGCCTTCCAAGGCCCTTGCATCCTTACCACGCATTCCCATTTACGGGTTAACTGTACGTTGCTGTGGATTCTTTCGGGGGTTGAGCAGTGGACTTGGTGCTTGCGTGAGCTCGGGCGAAGTATCGAACAGTTTGCGCGGATGACGTGCAAGCCATCGTCGATTGGCGCGGGGATGGAACGAGTTTGGTTGTTTTCTTGCACGCGTGAAGCAACCAGATGTTTCAAGATCACACGTAGATTTTGCTTGTGCGTTCTTCATTCTCATTGTCTGTGTCCACATTTGCCCATTTTGGTTTGACGACAGTGTTTCTGTATGTCTTGGGAAGTTCCATGACGGCCCGTATCGTGTTGCGCGCATGATGTTCAGAGTACGCGTTGTTTTCTGGCTCTCTGGCCTTGCGGCATTGGTGATGGCATTGAGCCCGAAGAGCGGAGTCGTGGCGGGCCCCCAGAAGAAAACTAGCACTCAAATCTGTGGTCAGCGAGTGTTCGGGGGTGTGGTTTCGATGCGCGTCGGTACCGATCGCTGCACATCTTCTTGAGGCCGTCGTTGCGCTTGTGGGATCCGGCGGCATTGAAGCCGTTGGGACGATGCGCGACGGGCGTGCCGCATCGAAGGCCCCGTGAGCTGTCTTCAACCCTTGGGCGCCTCTTGGAGGGGGCACACGGGACACGACGTGCGCGAGAGGAGTGGTGCCGACGTGTCAGGCTCCCCCGAGGCAGCCCGGGGTGGCCGGCGGAGTGGTGCCTCTCTGGAGGCCCACGTGCGGGGCACGAAGATCAGGAGGGAACAATGACACACAGACACAGCGAATCGTCGATTACCCAGAGAACATGGGAAAATATGGGGAGTGGGTGGGAAGACGAGAACTCGGGAAATATGGGAGCATATGGGGAATCCTGTTGTCTATGTCTATTTATTAGTGTGTCCCAGGGCCCCTTCAGTTACCCCGAACCGACTTGATGGTTCAAGCCGGATATCGATTACATCATTGATTTAGAAAGTGCGCTAGTTGATCTCCTTGACTACACTGAAGGGGGGGGGTCCAGAATCCAGAACCCCCCCCCTCCCCCCCTTCAAGGGGGGGGGGTCCGGACCCCCCCCACCACTCCCCCCCTTAAGGGGGGGAGGGGGTCCCGAACCCCCCTCCCCCCTCCTTCTCTGAATGGGGGGGTTCCGGACCCCCCCCCCCCCCCTTTGGCGCTGGAAAGGGGGGGGGGTCCGGACCCCCCCACCCTCGAGTAGGGAGTACGGAGTTGGGAGTAGGGAGTGGTGAGTAGTGAGTAGTGAGTTAGTGCGTAGTGAGTAGTGGGTATTGGGTAGTGAGTAGTGGGTAGTGGGTGGCGAGTAGGGGGTAGGGTGTAGGGAGTGGGGAGTAGTGAGTAGTGAATAGTGACTAGTGTGAACTCAGAAGTGAGTAGTGAGTGGCGCGTAGTGAGTAGTGAGTAGTGAGTAGCGAGTAGCGAGTAGCGAGTACTGAGTAGGGAGTAGGGAGTAATGAGTAGTGGGTAGTGAGTAGGGGGTAGTGAGTAGTGGGTGGCGAGTAGTGATTTGAGAGTAGTGAGTAGTGGGTAGTGCGTAGTGCGTAGTGAGTAGTGAGTAGTGAGTAGTGAGTAGTGAGTAGTGAGTAGTGAGTAGCGAGTAGTGAGTAGTGAGTAGTGCGTAGTGAGTACTGAGTGCTGAGTTGTACGTAGTGCGTAGTGAGTAGTGAGTAGTGAGTAGTGATGAATAGAGAGTAGTGGGTAGTGGTAGTGGGTAATGAGTAGTGAGTAGCGAGTAGGGTGTACCGAGTAGTGAGTAGTGCGGAGCGAGTAGGGCGTAGTGAGTAGTGAGTAGAGAGTAGAGAGTAGTTAGTAGTGAGTAGTGGGCAGTGAGTAGTGAGTAACGAGTAGGGAGTAGCGAGTAGTAAGTAGTGAGTAGTGAGTAGGGAGTAAGGAGTAGGGAGTAGTGAGCAGTGAGTAGTAAGATGTGGGTAGCGAATAGTGGGTAGTGAGGAGTGGTTAGTGGGTAGTGAGTAGTGACTAGTGACGAGTGACTCGTGAGTTGTGACTAGTGACTAGACATTTTGTAGTGACTAGTGAGTAGGGAGTAGTAGGTAGTGAGTAGTGAATAGTGAGTAGCGGGGAGTGAGTAGTGAGTAGTGAGTAGCGAGTATGGGAGTAGCGAGTAGTGAGTACTGAGTACTGTGTAGCCAGTATTGTGTAGGGAGTAGCGAGTCGCGAGTAGCGAGTAGTGGGTAGGGAGTAGTGATTTGTGGGCAATGAGTATTTAGTGGTGAGTAGTGAGTAGTGGATAGTGGGTCGTGGGTAATGAGTAGTGATTAGTGAGTAGGGAGTAGGGAGTAGTGAGTAGTGCTGATTTAGTAGTGAGTATTGAGTAGTGGGTAGTGAGAAGTGAGTAGTGAATAGTGAGTAGGGAGGAGGGAGTAGTGAGTAGGGAGTAGTGAGTAGCGAGTAGTGGGTGGTGGTCAGTGAGTAGTGCATAATGAGTAGTGAGCCGTGAGTAGTGAGTAGGGGTAGTGAGAAGTGAGTAGGGAATAGCGAGGAGTCAGTAGTGGGTAGTCAGTAACGAGTAGTGAGTACTCTTTGGTGCTGGGGTTAGTGGTTGGGGTTAGGATTAGGGGTTTGGGTTAGGGTGAGGACTAGGGTATGGGTGGCGGGGGTCGGGTTCCGGAGTCAGGTGGCGGCGTGGCGAAAGGGGGGGAGGGGGGGGGGTCGGACCCCCCCGCCCCGCTTCCTTTTGAAAGGGGGGGGGGGGGTCCCCGACGACGGATCGGGGAAAAGAAGGGAGGGGGGGGTTCCCCGACGATGGATCGGGACAGGGGGGGAGGGGGGGGGTCCCCGACGACGGATCGGGGAAGGGGGGGGGGGTCCTAACCCCCCTCCCTTGGGGAGATCCAGCGGCGCACCCTCATTGATTTACTCCAAACATGAAATGATCTGAGAACCCACTAAAAATCCACAGGCTTCTCGTATATCGTCGAAGATTATGTTTGGTTAGAGATCCGACGGGTAAATTGAGTTTGGGGTGAGTCAATTTTGTAGACAACCTCTTACTCGAATGATTGAATGGCTGCCTCTTGAACCCAGGAGGCATGATTCGGTAGCAAATCATGGGAGCCTGGTGTACCTTCTTAATTCCGACTTGATCGCCGAGTAGCGTCTGGGAGTCGATGGGACAGTGCTGATTTGCCGTCGGTCAGCGTCGATTTGCAGTCGATTTAACGTCGATTGAGCGTCGATGGAGCGTCGGCTAGTGTCGACTAGCGTCGATTAGCGCCGATTCGCGAGAGCCGACAAGATGGTATGGGAGGCTTTTGCGAGTTGCCACCGAAGCATGACATGCGCCGGGTGGCTTGCCAGACGTAATTAATTCGAGGCTGAGGAGGTACCGATACGCGTTCTCCTGGCCTTGGAGTTCGCCCGTCGTGACGGCTCGGCTCCTCTTCGAATTCCCGGTCTCAAGCAGTGGCGAAGCGTCTTGGCTTCCCTCTAAGCCCACCAAATAATGTTCTAAGAACCTGGTGCGGTCTGCGCGAAATGCTATTCGATCATTTCTGGTTGAGACCGTCTTGCTTGAACCCATCGGGAATTTGTTCTAAGGAGACCGTTGCTGTTCTTATAACATGTTTGGGTTCTAAGAACATTTTGCTGTAGGCCTATAGGAATGCAGGGACGGTCGGCCCCTGCTCAACGGTAAGAAAAAAGCAACCCTGGGAGAGGTCAAGGAGTAGCGGTATCCTGGGGGCGTCCAAGTGGGGGGTGATTGTTATCGAAGAAGAGGGATTGCCATAAACACACATTGTTGGCGCTCCGCGCAGGTTTCTTGGATCTGCGCTGGACCCTTGGCGGCGCCTTTGGCGCCGCCCCTGGCGCGCACCGCGTGCCAGGGAGGGGGTCCAGCGCAGATCCAAGACATCCGCGCGGAGCGCCAAAAGTTGTTACTCATGGCGTTTTGTGCTCCTCTAGATTCGGCCGGTACGATCGAAATGGGTACGGAAGGGATGGGTATGCAGACCGACAGCAGTTCTTGTTCATTTTGAACAGGACTCGCTGCCGGACTCGCTGTCCAGACGTCGAGACAGAGAACCGTCTGGCCAAAAGCGGCCGCTGTCGGATTTGGACAGCATTTGTGGTTGGGCATCGTACCCATTTGTTCCATACCCATGTCGAGCGTCCGAAACTACGCTGCGGTCGTCGAAAGTATGTACGTCTGGAATCCCAGATCCCAATCTCTTTCAAGCGCCCTCCGCCTTCAAGAACCGAGATGCGTCCATCAGCTTTGAGCGCCTTCCTGCTTCGAGCATCGATGTGCCTCTGCTGTGCTCTGTTGTTTTCTGGGAGGGCCCGAGCCCAGTCGATTTGCTCCGGCCGACGTGCAAGGGGGGGGGGGAGATGCCCTGGCCCCGGCCCCGGCTGTTGCCGCGCTCTCCCCGCTGCCCTGGCTGTCCGCTCCAGCCCGCTCACCGCGGAACTCTCTCACGTTGGAGCGCCTCCCCCCCCCCTCTCCACCCCCGCGCGACCAGCTCCCCCTCTTCTCCTCCTCTCAGGAGGGAAAAAAGCACACAGACCCAATTCGTTCTCGTTTCCTTAGACGACATGGGGAAAATATTGGAAGTGGGGGGAAGACGGAAATCCAAAAAATAGGATTGGGAATCCTGTTATTTGTGTGTATTTATTTTTTGTGTGTCCTTGGGCCCCTTCATCCTCGCTCTCTTGCGCGCCGGACAATTTGCAGAGCGGTGCCCCCGATAAGCCCCACGCTAGTGCGCATCGCCCCTGCCTCGCCGCCGACGGGAGTAAAAACGAATAATGGGGGTGGACAGCATGGCGGGGGCCATGATGCCTCCCAAGATTTCCTGGAGGCTCGTTGTCTTTCCCCTGGCGTCACGGGGCACCCGCCCTGGGCCGCTTGCGTGCCTGGGGTTAAGTCGGCAGGTCCTTCCCGCCTGCAGGAGGAGCAGTCAAACATAGTGTTAACAAATACATAGTCTGGCGAAGATGTTGCATTGTTCTTGCTAATGTTGAATATATTTAGTTATTCGTCATGTATCTTCCAAAATACGGGTGTAGGAGGACATGCCCGACCTACGCCTCGGGCCGACAGCGCCGAGGACCCAAAGACATGCGCTGTTGACGACCCTTCCTCCCCATCCGACCTCGTCCTTGTCTTAAGTCGGGCCTGTCCCTCTACAGGAGGAATATTCCAAAATAGTCAAACACTAGTCTGGGGACACATTTTCTGGCATTGTTTTGTAATGTTGAATATGTTTGTGCATGTTTGTCGTCCACAGTCCGCCTGTAGGGGGACATGCCCGACCTAATCCTCGCCCCCTCTGCAAGTCCGGGTCGCGGGCTTCATCCTTCATCGCGAGTCTCGCAGCGCGAAGTGCGAGATCAGCGAAGCTACAGATTGCATTCTCCAGCTGCACGTAAGAGTGACCCTTCCCCGGAGGAGGAGGAGGAAGAGGAGGAGGAGGAGGAGGAAGAGGAGGAGGAGGAGGAAGAGTGACCTTTGGTGTGGGCACACTGGGGCCCCCTGATCGCCGAACGCGATGCGGTATTCGCGTTTTGCGCGCTTGTGTTGGGTCCCCCCGCGGCACCCAAAAAGCCGCGCACCAAAGGTCACTCTTGCTACGCCGTTACAGAAGTTCGTCGTGTTTTGGGGGGCGTCAAGATGGTGCATGTTTCGTCCGTTCCTTCCGCGCGAGCGGGCGGGCGAAGGCTGACCCCTGTCCCGACCGCGGGCTGGGTCAAGAGCGGGCGGATCAAAGATCCGGCATTTCTATAGCCGGGATCTTCCCCTACATAGATTAAACGGGTGAGTTTTGAAGTCCCGACGTAAAGAACGGTTTTAACAATCCCACCGCGCGGGATTTTGCCCTCCCAACGCAGGAGGATGACTTCCAATTCACGACGAAATTGTTGTAACGCCGATGTGCCCAGGGTCGCTCTTGCGTGTAGTCCTCCTAGATGGGGTCGGGGTAGATGGGGTCGGAGGATTTCGCCACACTGCTGATGCATCGCCGCTGCGGCCCGATGTGGAGCCCGATTTGCTCCACGTCGACGTCGCCAATGCATCGCCGTCGTCGACGATGCATCGCCAGTGCATCGTCGATACGTCGCCGATGCGTCGCCGACGTATCGGCTATGTGGCGTGACCCTCCGACCCCATCTACTCCGACCCCATCTGGGAGGCCTCCTATGCGTGCAGTCGGAGTCCGCGTCGGCCCAGACAGGCGGCTCCTGCTACCCCCTGTCCCCGGAGAAGCACGAGAAGCAGAGCGAGGCCGGGGGCGCGCAGGGCCGCCAGGCAGCGCGCGCCGCCCCCCCCCCCCGGCTCGTGCGGCAGAGAGAGGGGGGGGCAGGAGCCAGAGGAGGAACATCTCGGGGGTGGATGGACCTCCTGCCCTGACGCGTCGATTAGTGGATGGTCCGTTTTCGGCTCTCGAGAGGGCGCCGCGGCCGTCGTTTTCCAGGCTTGCGCCCGCCAGGCTTCGGCCCGAGGTCGCTTTCCCTAAACCACGTTTTACTAAAGGGGGTTCTGTCCATCCCCGAACACGGGGAAACAAACAATGGCATACACATAACAACTCGGAGGTACTCGCGGATCTCTTGGGTCGGCGCCGGGCCCTTCTCCATGGCGCGCGGAGCGCGCCAGGGGCGGCGCCGGAGGCGCCGCCGGCGCTGGTCCGAGGAATCTGCACGGACCTCCGCGTTTTTATGTTCATGTCAGTGTTTGTTCCCCTCGAACAGGCACTCAACTGCTACCCTCCGCCCGTTTTCCCCTTCGCGGGCCTCCTGGGAGGCCCCCGTCGCCACCGCTGGATTCACCTCGAAGTTCTGGTCAGGACGCACCCCGGGGAGAGGTCCCGGGAGTGGCCGTATCGGCACTGTTTGCTTACCCTACGGAGGTGGCCTTGCGGGTGCCCCGTCGTGGTTCTCGTCGAGCGTTGCCGGAGTGGGTGTGCAATGATGGCCATGAGTTTTGTAAGAAGGGGAGGGGGGTGAGTTCGAAATCGAACCGTCGTGCAACATGCATTCACAACGTGCAGGGCTTCCTCTATCCTTTTCGCTGCTGCTGCTCCTCTTCTTCCTTCCACTCCCCAATTAGCTGCTTCCCTGACTGGTGCTACTTCCTCCGTCCTTTGTTCTCGGCGCTCGCGGGCTCCTCCCTCCTCCACCGCAAGAAGTCTTGGGTACACGTTGGAAGCAGACCAGTCCAAGCAGTTGTTTGTGGGCCGTGGCAAGGGTCGTCAAGGCCAGGCTGCACTGGCGCCGGGGCATCACCGGGCGTGCATGCTCGCCAGACGCCGCGTCCGTCGGGGCAGCACCCTTGCGAAAAAGCTCGGCTCCAGGAGCGGAAGCCTGGAGCGTCGTCCGGCGCGTCTCGCCTCGGCGCCTGCTGCTTTCGCAGATGCCTCGGGCGCTTCCACACTGCGCCTTCCTTGGCGGCCCCGTCGTGCTGCGCAGCTCCTGCCAGGCCTCAGCGCCGGCCCCGGCGAGCGGGGCCGCCCCAGACTTCAGACAAACGTTGGAATCCCAGCTCCAACTCCGGGAAACTGAAGGGGAACTGGGACACACAAATAAATACACACAAACAAAATTATCCCCCATATTTTCCCATATTTCCTGGGTTTTTATCTTCCCCCCCACTTCCCATATTTTCCCATATTTTCTGGGAATCGCCGATTCATTGTGTCTGTGTGTTTTTTCCCCTCCTGAGAAACGGGGGTCCAGCGCCGGCCCGAGAGAAGCCCGCGCGCAGGCCTCCGGGGGTGCACGGCCCTCGTGTGTGTCGCCCGCTGCCTCCTCTCCGCTATGCTCGAGCCGCTCGGGCAGAGCGGCCCCGCGTGGCTTTGGAGCTGCGCCCCCCGCGGTCGGGCCGAGGATCCGGCACGTGCAGAAGCAGGCCGGCTGCGCAGCTGTCGGCCAATGGCCTACACCTTAGGCGATGCTTAAGAAAACTTAAGTTTTTGGCCAGAGTCTCGATTATTCTTACCGTTTCAATGTAAATCCTAAGATTTTAATAGACATGTTGGTTTTTTATTCAAGTTCTGAGACTATGAATTTCTTGACACATGATTTCTTAAGCATTTCGCAGGGTGTACTTCGTGTCCAGGCGCGGCGCCTCAAGATGCAGGCCAGCGACCATCCAGGCCGCCTACCATGGAGAATCGAGCTGCATCCCCGACGCGTCGGCGAAGCGGCGCGATCGGAAGCCCGAGGTTCGCCGTCCCGACGCCGCCGATGCGCCGCCGCGGCAGTGTCGCTGGGGCCCATCTTCCGACACCACCCACTCCAGGCCAGTTTGGGCGCCGCGTAATGGGGGGGTCATACATGGGGGGGTGTCGCGGGTGGTCCGAAAAGGTACCCAAACGGTACCTAAACGAGCCCCCTGGGGCTCCGGAGGGGCCCGAAAGGGGCACGAAAGGGAACCTTTTTTGACCCCCCCATTTGTGACCCCCCCATTAAGCCACGCCCAACCAGTGTGGGCGGCCTCCAGATCTACGAGCACCATCAGGCCTACGAGCAGCTCCGGGGCGACAGTTCCAGCCCCCCTGGCCGACGAGCCGCTCCTGGCCGGCGGTGGCAGCTTCCACGAGTTCAAGGGAGGAGGGCATGCCCGAGGGCCGCGCGAGAGCCGCGCAGGCCTGAGACCTCATTGCTGCGGGTGGCAACGCGCGGAGTACACCTTAGGCGATGCTTAAGAAAACTTAACGTTTTCGGCCAGAGTCTCGATTATTCTTAACGTTTCAGTGTAATTCCTAAGATTCTAACAGAAATATTGGGTTTTTATTCAACTTCTGAGACCATGAATTTCTTAACCCATGATTTCTTAGCCATTTCGCGTGGTGTAGGGCCTCTTGAAGCAGTGTCGCCCCCCCCCCGCCCAGGCCCGAGTCTGCTCAAAATCTGTCCCCGGACCTCTCCGAGGCGCAGCGCGCCGTGGCGACGAGCAGCAGGCAGGAGGACCCCCTGGAGCACGAGAAGAGCGCCGGGGAGGTCCGTCCCCAGGCCCCCCCCCGACGCCGCGAAACTTCCACAGGCGCGCGCCGCCAGAGTTCAGGAGGGAAAAAACCACACAGACACAATTACTCGTCGATTCCCCAGAAAATATGGAAAAATATGGGAAGTGGGGGGGAAGACAAAAACCCAGAAAATATATGGGAAAATATGGGGAATCCTTTATTTTGTGTGTATTTATTTGTGTGTCCTGGGGCCCCTTCAAGAGTATCGTGCAGAGGGTGCTCGGGTGAGCCAGTCGTCACGGCGCGGTGCAGCCTGCACGCAGCATGCGGGCCACGCTCCCGCGCAGCCTCCCGAGGCCAGCCAGCGCCGCGCACACCTCTGTTGGGCCGGAGGCCTGTGCACTCAGGGGCAGAGGGAGAGCGGGCACTCCCAGCGCGCACCTGGGCGCGGAAGGCGGCGGCTTCTCGCAGCAGCCAGGATGTTTCCCCCCCCCCCCCCCCTCCCCCCCCCCCCAAAAAAAAGGGAGGGGGTCAACATCCTTCCAGGCGAAATGTTTCAGACCCTCTCCTTACAACTTATAAACGGGCGGCCTTTTGCCCAGACCACCCAGAACCTCCAGGAGAGCTTCTCGCAGACCACACCAACAAATCAGACCAACCCGCTTTTTGTTACGAAATCCGCAGTAACAGTCGGTTTCGCATCGACGCCGTGGTTGCGTCCCGCAGCCGTTCTGGAGGTCGCGCGCGGCCCGAGCAAAGCGATCTTCGAGCTCGTGTGAGCTGCTGTCGGCTGCGCCGCTGTTCTCGCCCTCTGAGGGCCGCTCATGAAAAAAGTTGTCCTCCTTGGACCGCACGTGAACGCTGACCTCCCACTGCTGCGCCCCCCACCTTTCCGAGCGCTTGCGCGGACCCACCAGGGGGACACGGCCCGAGCTTTCAGGAAGAGGTTGGGGAGACTCGTTTGCTGGGTCTGATGCTCGATTGCTGCGCAGGTTCCCACAGTTTGCTTTCCGGAGCGATGTTCTGGATTCTGGGACTTCGTCGGCGGGCTGGAGTTGGGAATCGCGCGGCCGTCGAACTTGTCGGTTGTGCCTGGGGCAATCGAATACCGGTGGGGTGCATATTGGCCCAAAGTGGTTTCTGACTTGTCCCTCGCCCTCGGGTGGGGAGGAGGAGGAGGAGGAGGAGGAGGAGGAGGAGGAAGAAGAGGAGGAGGAGGAGGAGGAGGAGAATCTTTTTTTTTTTTTTCACTGTATACTGCTCCCAACAACACTCCGAGGCGGGTGAGTGAAGGGCGGACTCAGATGAAGAACTGCAAAAAGTAGCACTTCAAGAAGTAGAAAACCGGACGGCGATGCCCCAGTTGAAGATGAAGCTTGTCGCATTGAGGAAAAAGGTGAAGAGGACCATCAGCTCGAACTCGCACTGGTACTTTCATGAGCCACACCAGCCTCGAACAGGTCGACGAGCTCGCTGAAGTCGAAATCTCCCGTGCACACCACCGCGCCGTACGCCTCACGAAGATCAGTTGAGGCTTGCATCCAGGCCGCCCGAAACCTTGATTCCAAGCGCCTCCACTGGCGCACGGGAATGTGCTTCGACTTGAACTTAACGAAGGCAACAACAGCCTTCAGCTGACCACGGACGTCTGCCACCGACGTCGGAACCGAACTCGCAGAAAAGGATGTCGTACTCGGAGCACGCGCATCAGGCGAGGGAATATTATCGTGCTTGTCCATGCTGTGAAAATCCTTGCCATCACCATCGTCAGGTAATGAATTGAGAAGTGCTTCTTGCAGTAGGCCTCGTTCCTGACCGAGAAGTTCGTCTCCAACCTGTGAGTCCCCTTCACCTCCACTTTTCCAAAGAAGCTCTAGTCCCCGCAGGTCACAAACATCACGATCATCAGCGGCAATGTTGAAGAAAAAGGGAGCGCCCACCGACAGGTCGCCAACCTTGCCGTCCTCCACGTGCTCGATCAGCTCGCCGCCGTCGCAGCGCTCCTGGTTGTCAATGGGGTCGCCTACGCACACCTTGGCGGCAGAGGCGGAGTCGCCTTCGCCCCCTCCGTGTCCATGTACTCCCCCTTGGGCACCACCGCCGCAGGCTGTGGCAGGTCCGCCGCCTTGGACATCTTCTGCGCGTGCTGGCCCACGTAGTTGCCCGTCTTGACGCTGCCCTTCCTGTCCTTCTTGTCCTTCTTGTCCTTCACGTCCCGCGTACTGTGGCGCCTGCGCCTCCGCCCCGTGCTGCTGGGCTCCTCGGTCAAGGTCTTGGGATCCTGCAGCTGCAGCGTGGCGTAGGTGTAGTACTGGCACCGCAGGTACTGGTACGAGAGAAACGTAGTTGGACCCAACAGAACGTTGCCCGAAGCATCCGTTGGGAGGCTCCATGCCCCCTGCCATGAACGCGGCGGTTCGTGAAGAGCACGGAGGTCCCCTGGGGGAGGCTGGAGCGGCGGGCCCGCAGGCCCTGACGACGCACTTGAACTCCACTTCGCACCCGACGGGCACCGTGAACTTCAATCGCGCAACTGCGGGCTCGCCATTGCTTCGCATGCAGGAAGGAAAGAGCCAGCAAAAAAGGCGCCCAGGTTCGAGCCCCAAGCTCCTGGACCTGACCAGGAGTGAAATGCTTGAGCCAAGAGGAGGAGGAGGAGGAGGAGGAGGAGGAGGAGGAGGAGGAGGAGGAGGAGGAGGAGGAGGAGGAGGAGGAGGAGCAGGAGCAGGAGCAGGAGCAGGAGCAGGAGCAGGAGCAGGAGCAGGAGGAGCAGGAGGAGCAGGAGGGCATCAGGGGTGTATAGACCGGCCAGGGCCACGCAAGCCCCGTGATCTCATGCCCCCCCGCCCCCTCTCGTCGGGTCGGGAGAGGGGGCGCGGCAGCTGCCGCGTGCAGCTGTTTTTGTTTTCGGCCCTGCCGCTGAAAGCCGGCTTTCGAGGCGGTGGCGCCTCCGGCGCTGGGAGGCGCCACGACGATCGGCTGCGCGAGCTGATTTTGCTAGCCATGGAGACAACGCTCGGGGGGATACAGTAGGAGCTCGACCACGAGAAACCCTCCACGAGAAGCCCACTCCTGAGACCCCAGGACGTCCACTGATTTTTGGTTTGGGAACGTCACGCTTTCCACAGCAGAACCCTCGAAACCCAAGAAACCAAGGGCACCCTGGAGGCAAGCAGGGTGTTTCCCTGGAGACAGCGCTAGGGGAGATAGGCTGCGGGGGAGATTCATCGACCTTGAATTAAGTCGGCGTGCCCCTCTACCGGAGGAATATCCGATAACAGTCAAAACTCGTCCGGGGACCATTTTTCGTCTTTGTTTGGCTATTTGAGAATCTGCCTGGCTATCTTTTATCGCTCTTAAGAAATCCGCCTGTAGGAGGACATGCCCGCATGAACCTTGTATCGCCCGCTCACAGTCGACATGGGCCGGATAGCCCACCCCGCCCACGAGCGTGCGGCTTCGCCAGGGGAGGCTGCTCGCCGACATGTGGGTGGTGCATCGCCGATTCAGGCTCGACGTGTTTCCCCCCTTGAGCCCGTCCCGCCCTATCGCAGCCCCGCGCCTCTACTGCCCCCGTGATCCGTCCAACCCAGCTTCTTTTCTCTGCGACATTCAGGCACGTCGGCCGGGCCGTCAGTACGGAGAAGGCCGGGCTGGCGCGGTCTGTTCGCACGGGCTTCCTTGGAAAAGTGCAGCGCCAGCGCCGCGCTGCCACGTTTCAGGCGTTGCGCACGCGGTCCACACGGTGGACGAGGACCACGCGGGGCTCCAGAGGGGCTCTGATTTTCGCGCCGCTCCGGAGGTTTCCGTCGTGGAACCTCGTCGTGGCCGGGGTTCGCCGTATACAGTCGGGGCGTTGACCTAAGGAACCCTAAATAAGGAACGAGGCCCATTTTTCCATAAGTTAAACTTCGATTTCCTATCGAAAATATTAGGAACACCTGAGGCAAGCTGTGAAACACGTAAGGAACGCGGAGCCCCTCCCCAACCAAAAGGGTTCCTTCTTCAGGGCCCCCCCTGTAGCCAGACAACGCCCTTGGTTCTTCGTGCGGCGTATCTCAAGGTAGCAGGATGACTGTGGTGCACCTCTGCCTGGAGTGGCTTTGGCGGAAGTCGCGATGCGAGGGTTGGCGCGCGATTGGTGATTGTTCGCCCAGAGTCGGGCAGCTTGAAGGATGCTTTCTCGGACGGTCCGCCCGCGTGCCCAGGGCCATGCTGTGCTGACCCCCCGCTTCCTGCACCCTCGTCGCTCGCGCACCCGGCGCGCCCCTCTCCTCTTCCTCAGCGTCGTGGCCTGTGTGACCACTGTGCGTCGGGCATCCTCCCTGTCCCCTGGGGAGCCGCGGCCCCCCCGGACCAGAGGTCAGCGACCAGCTGGACGTCATCTTCGACGTTCTTGGTGCCGCCGGGTGGTGGTCAAAGGGCGCTTCCAGAAGCGGCTATCCGTAAGAGTGACCTTTCGCGAGGTGGCCTATGGTGCGGGCGCACTGGGGTCCCCTGAGATCCTGGCGACCCAATTTTTTCGAGTTGGGTGTTCTCGACTTTTTACGGGCCCGGGGACCCTCACAGCTCGATCCGGCTCGAAACATGACGCAGGAAGATGGAGTTTAGGGCTGTGCTTTTTTACGACGTTGTATTTTTTTTGCTACGTCGGATCTCAGCGTCTCCAGAGGGCTGGCTGGATGCGATGCGATAGCGGTCCGTTGCGCGCCTCGGTTCGGCCCCCGGGCGGCCCTCGAGTCGAGCGCTGCGCACAGAGGTCACTGTTGCCTGGGGCCGCTCTTGCGTGTGGCCGCTCGCTTTGTACACCTCGGAAGGAGCAAGGCTTGACAGACTTCCGTCGGCCGTGTCCCTCCACAGGAGGGATCTTCAAAAATAGTCACAGAGTAGTATGGGCGCCATTTCTCGACTGTTTCTGAATATTTTGGAATCGTGTTTGCCTGTTGTTGATTTCTCGTCCCAAATCCGCCTGTAGTGGGACATGCCCGACCTAATGATACACCCGGGCGACGTCCATGGCGCCACGCCTGGCGCGCCCTTCGGAGTGGGGTGCCCCGCGTCGGCCCGGGAGGGCCCGCGCGAGCCTGCGACAACGACCGTCCGTGGCTCCGCGCGCTGGTTGTGCAGTTGTTGTGTTCCTCGAATGCCCCCCCGAGGAGGCCGAGCGAGGGCCCCGGAACGAGAGGGTGAGGGGGCGAACGGGGACAAGGAGAAAGGGCGAGGCGAGGAGGCCGATGAGGAATGGCTGCCGACGGAGGCACGGGCAGACGGATTCGGGTTAGGAGGCACACTCCTCCTCTTCCTCACCCTCCTCCGGGGAACGGAGGGCCCCCTCACTGCACTGTGCACAGCGTGATGTGGCCACAAGACCAAGTTTTGCCACGGCGCAGGCGATCGCACGGCATGGGCAGGCCGAGGTCAGCATGCGAAATGGCAAATGAACGCCGAGACGGAGGAGGTGGAGGAGGAGGAGGAGGTTGAGGAGGAGGAGGAGGAGGAGGAGGAGGAGGACGGGAGAGGGGAGGAGGAGGTTGAGGAGGAGGAGGAGGAGGAGAGGAGGAGGAGGAGAGGAGGCGGAGGAGGAGGAGGAGGAGGACGGGAGGAGGACGAGGAGGAGGTTGAGGAGGAGGAGGAGCAGGATGAGGAAAAGGAGGGGAAGGAGGAGGAGGAGGAGGAGGAGGAGGAGGGGGGGGAGGAGGGGGGGGGGAGGAGGAGGAGGCCGCGGCCAGGGGACTGCGGGCAGGCGAGGCGCTCCGAGCGTGCAGTCTCTCACTCGGCC